AGGGTCCGGGTCTCCCTCTGCCCTCCCCTGGGGTAGCCCCGGGTTCTGTCGCCTCTCCTGTTAGGAGCTCTGGTTTGGAGGAAGTATTGTTCGAGCAGTATTTCTGCGTCCTTTTCTCATTTCATATTTTACTTCAGATAATGTAGGTGGTTTTGAAGCTTTAGCGAAGAGCCCCAGAGCGATTTTTCTCTCTTTTCCTTACTTTTACTTTTTTCCCCCACCAAGTCCATGAAAAATGATGTAATGAGGTTCTCCCATGTATGGGAATATTTCTATCTTAAAAAAATTTTTTTTCAAATGCTTAATCTGAAAGCCGACAGAGCCAGACATCGTGGTGAAGGGCTTTAGATTTTTCGGTGAGGAGTTTTCAGTGTTTCTCCCGAACTCCCAGAAAACTTATAATTAATTTTGCAGTTTATCTGTGTCAAGGGACTGTGTGTGCCCTGCATTGCTTCTTTCGAGGCGTCTGAGAGCAGCTTCTCGTTACAGATTCTGAGCTGGGACTGATTAGGTCTTCCCTTCGAACTACCCGAATTCTGCATTTTCTCAGACCGCTCCCTCCCCAGCGGCCGAGAGGGACGGCATTCCGTGGGAGCAGCGGGCGTGGCTCCTGCCTCCCCCCACCCACAGGGAAGAAGCGTTTCTGCCCGGTGGGACCCTCCCAGGGAGGCCTGGCCTTGGCTGGTCTTCCTCTCCTCGGGATGGAGTCCCGCGTGAGGGCTTCCCAGATGTCCTTTGGCTTGTGCCGTCCGCCGTTCCTTTGGAAAACCTGTCCAAAGAGACTCTGCAAAGTCTGCCCACAGAAGCTGCTATCTTCCGGAGGGGTCATTCCGAGCAGCGGTTCTGAGTGTCTGTCACTGCGCTCTGCAGACGTCCGGGCGCCCGGTGAGGTTCACTCAGCCCTCGGGGTCCTGGCCCTCCCGGCTCTCTTGCCTCTAACGTTCCGTTCCGGTGACAATGTTGCAACTCAGCATCGATTACGTTTGCACATATCCACCTGCCGTTCCCCTCCTCGTGTGTCTCCCCAGCACTTCACACCTGCCCCTTTCACGTTCTGTCTCTTGCCATTAAAAAACAAACAAGCAAAACCCAACAGATTTGTGGGATCTAAAAGCAAAGCAAACAGAACGAGCCCAGGCTCAGAGACAGAGACCGAAGGATGGTCACCCGAGGGAGGGGTGGAGGGAGGGCTGAAAAGGGGGAGGGGCTTATAGTCACGAATTTGTGATCAGTGTACGCGGTGACAGAGGATTACCAGAATCAGTGGAGTGGTCGCTATTTAAGGCATTCAAATGTCAAAGCACTATAGTCTGTGCCTGAAACCAATATAACTAATGTAAGATTGAATACCAACTACACTTAAATTAAAAAAAATAAATTATAAAGAAAAGATTCCCCATCGCAAACGCTGGAATGTCACAGGTCAACCCTGGACAGAGGAGGCATCATTAGGTTTCATATACCTGCTGACCATCTGCAGCTTCTGGAACTCTCCTGACATGGGCAGGAAGGGGCCTACACGCTATTGAAGCCTCTCTCGGTGTGGGATTCAGGGAACAGAGAAAATAGTTTGCAGGGCCAGAGCCTTAGAAATTGTAGCGCTTGGCCAAAGAAATAGGGTTATTTTAAATTGTGTGGTAGTGACAGATATCTACGTAAGTATCAGGGAAATTACTGACCTACAATGTTAATGGTGTATATTATTGAATAGGGTACAAAAATTCAAGTGATGTGTTTTATTTGATTAGAACAGTCATCGCTTCCTTCCTGCTCAGTCTTCCTTGTTTCCTATGTAGCAGTGGTTGTGTGTAGCTTAAAAACTGTAAACAAAATATTTGCTGGGATTTATCTTTTATTAAGTGGAACTAATTTTTTTCTAAAAACTATGTAGCATAAAAAAATCAAATGGGTTTATGAGTTTTATACATTTGAAACTTACATTTAAACTTTGTGGGGGTTTTTAAAGATTTTATTTATTTATTTTTAGAGAAGGGAAGGAAGAGAGAAAGAGAGGAAGAGAAACATCAATGTGTGGTTGACTCTTGAACGCCCTCTACTGGGGACCTGGCCCACAACCCAGGCATGTGCCCTGACTGGGAATCAAACCTGCGACCCTTTGGTTCCTAGGTCAGCACTCGATCCACTGAGCTATACCAGCCAGGGCTTCTGTTGTTTTAGTTTTTGTATTTTGGCACATCATTTACCTCTGTAACAGTCTGATTAGTCTGGTTTGGAGCTGGGTACACACCAAACACGCTGAGACACTGAAATTCCACTCAGGGGTACTGAGGCATCCAGGCAAGTAGGAGCCTGTTGCTTCTGCTCGTGTCCAGAATACCACGAGGCAAGAGTAATCACTTGCAGTTGCTGCAGATCATTACAAGTTGATTTTATTGAGGAAGAGAGCAACACTCCACTTATACAAGAAAAAATCGATCAAACCTGCAGCTTCCCCCCTCCCTACCCAGTCCAAGGGGAAACCAAGTCTCAGCAGAGCTTTATTTTAATGAGCACATTTGAAAGGTGCTGGATTTATGGGAGACATGAGGAAACAAGGATTGCAATTACTGTCTCTGTTTGTCGTCTGGGACTTGATTGGTGCCACATTGAGAAGAGTGTTAGGATGCAAGTCAGTGGGGAAAGTATTCAACCAGCCCGTCAGCCTGTAAGGATAACCACTTATTAGAATAACCTGACTCAGTGGTAATAAGACCCCCTGAAAATCATTTGATTTGTAGTTTCACGTCATTTCTTTTCCAAAGTTGAGTTACAGGTGATTTGACCAGAGAGGGACATATGGAACAATTTCTTAAACTATGTTTATTGTTTTTTCATGTGCTACTCGACGTGTCTGTTGTCCTTTGGGTCTCACCCCTGCACTCCAGCCACAGAGTTCTCAGAAAAGTCGGGCCGGAGTGTCCTTCTGGAAATACTCTATGTACCTGCACATGTATGTGTGTGTGTGTGTTTGTATTCACACAAATTACAGCCTGTGAGTTTGTTTCTCTTAAGAATATATCGGGTAGTCCTATATTGGCTACGTAGTTTTTTATTGTCTGGACGTCTCCTAGTTGATTCAACCAGAAACTTATGATGAATGTTTAGGTTATTTCTGATATTTTGTTCTGATAAACAGTGCTACAATACACATAGCTATCCTTGTTCAGAAGTCATTTTGCAACCTCTGCAAGTAGAGATCTTAGTGTACATTCATTAAAGTGAAATTGTGGAATTCCTCTAAGTTCAAAGGGCTTGTGCATTTGTCATTTTGGTAGGTATTGTCAAATTGTCCACTACAGAGATTCTGAGCGTGCCAGTTCGCTAACACCGTATTTTATCGTGTTTGATGTTTTCTGTTCTGATAGGTGAAAAATATCTATTGTGGCTTTACTGTGAATGTATGGGAATAAAGTTTGGACATCTGTTTTATGTTTACAAACTCATTTTATCTCCTTTTATGTGCTTTACCTTCATAACTTTGCCCGTTATTCTATTTGATGGTTGCTGTTTAGTCTATTGATGTGGAGAGAGCTGGTGATGCTTCTTTATGCTTTCATGTGAGCAGTATAATCAGCTTGCCGAGTTACCCACCCCATTCACCCAGAAATCAGTCCTGGTGGCGTTTTTATAGTGTTTGTGTCAAATTTATAGATGAATTTAGGAAGAACTGACATTTCCATGACGTTCAGTCTTATTTTCCAAGAAAATAATGGCATTATCTTTGTTTAAATATTCTTTTGTGTCCTTCAATAATATTTTAAAGTTTTACTTCGTGTAGACAATGCACATGAAAGAACCTTACTAGATATTTTTGCATGCACACTCTTGTAGCTAGCGTTTTCTTAACTCACCTCTTTCTTTGGGATATATTTTTCCTGGTTGATTTGCAGATAAATAATCACATCATTTGCAAAAGAATGTTTCTCTCATTAAAACATCTTTTACCTCTTTTTGTGTCTGAGTAGGATCCCTCTGACATACCAGTCCAGGGGGCCGTTCCTTCCGGAGTCATAATGGGTCACGGTGGTGACAGAGGACATCGTTTTTCAATCCCTAACTTTGGGAACATTCCTCATCTTTCCCTCTGAGACTATGATGCTGGCTTTGAGGTGGAGTAGATCTGTATTTTATCACTTTAAGGAACTAGCTACCTCTATCTCTTTCACTGAGATTTTCTTCATGAAAAGATATATTTTGTTGAGTTCTTGAGTGTATATGTGGTGACTCATGATTTTTTTCATTTATGAATACGATTAATTTTAGGTATAAATTGTTTGCACACTGAACCATCCTTGTGTTCTTGGAATACGTTCTACGCGGTTGTGCCCTGTTATTCTTTTACTGCGCCGCTGGATCTGAATTTCGTTTGCTTCCATTGCATTTAGGAGTTCCGCCTTGATTTTTTCAGATGTGAGACCGGTTGTGTGTGTGCGTTTGTGTCTCTGTGTGTGCACGTGTGTCATATGTGTTTTCTTTTTGGATTTTGATACATGCTATTCTGTCTGCACAAAAAGAATTTGGAAACTTTTTCTATGCTCTTAAGCAATTGAAACAGTATTGAAATTACTCTTTAATTGTACGACAGTATTCTCCTTTGTATTATAATTCTCTTGGCCTGTGTTTTCCTGGGAGATACGTCTTTGACAACTTCCTCTATATCTTCTGTGCCTTGTTTAGCTCTTCTGTCTCTTCTGAGGTGGACTGGCTCTTAATATAGTCCTAGAAACTAGCCATTTAATCTAGATTTTTCTAATTTATTTGCATGGAATTTAACAAAATATTCTTTCCCTTGATACCTGAGGTTATTTCCTCTACATGTTAACATTTTGTGACTAAAAATAAATGTTAAAAATATTCTGAAGACTGGTTTTTAAAAACATAGGTTATAAAAAGACTATATATATTTCTGTGAAAATGTCAAGGATTCCTAAGGTAAGCATCGTGGTCCCAGAACTGGAGACGAAGCGCGTTCTGCCTGATCACCCTCTCCTGTCTGACAGGCCCCGAGGAGGACAGCGAGGATGACCCTCAGCTCGAAGGCAGAGACCCTGATGTCTGGCACGTGGGCTTCAAGATCTCCTGGGACATAGAGACCCCTGGCTTGGCCATACCCCTTCACCAAGGAGACTGCTACTTCATGCTGGGTAATTCAGAGGGTCCAATCCCTATTCTGATGCTCTGTTGTCTAAGTGGTACGTTACTGGGTACATGTTCTGAGTATGTCTATTTTTTTAAAGATTTTATTTATTTATTTTTAGCGAGGGAAGGGAGGGAGAAAGAGAGAGAGAGAGAAACATCAATGTGCAGTTGCTGGGGGTCATGGCCTGCAACCCAGGCATGTGCCCTGGCTGGGAATCGAACCTGCGACACTTTGATTCACAGCCCGAGCTCAATCCACTGAGCTACGCCAGCCAGGGCTGAATATGTCTTTTGAAATACACTTTTCAAGTATCTTACAGTGATAAGGAAACTTAGGCATGTACTTTGTTTGTGTGTTTGAGATACAGCTGATTTTTAAAAGTTACTTTTCATTCTCCGTGTTTCTGGAGTTCTGCAAATGTTCCAAACGGTTTTCAGGAGTCCTCATGGGAGCCACGGACTCATCTAAGTCAACTTATCATCGTGAGGTTTTGGAAATGTTTCCCTGTCTCCGTCAGTTCTTGGTGGGAATGTGTCCCCCCCCCGCCCCCCCCCACCCAGCATCGTGTTTAGTTTCTCCTCAGGAGCCGCCCACCCGACAGTGAGTGGAGTTCTTCCTGAAGCCCTATTTCTTCAGAGGTTGAGCCAGTGGAAGCTGTGCCGTGTGGGGAGCTTCCTTCTTCCTTCTCTGCTCCAAGCGCAGTGTTTTGTTTGTGGGCGTTCGGCTTGTTTTCCAGCGTACGCTCTTTTGTTTTCACTCCTCAGTCTCTCAGGGTTCATTCTGCCCTTGGCTGTAGCTGCTGACCCTTCCAGGGCGATCTCGCTCTTTCCCGCTTGGGGGGCGCTACTCCTGTGCTGGTTGTAGAGCCAGGAAGCACCAAGGCTCCAACCCAGTGTTTGTGGTAAAATTTATTTCCCAACCAAGTAGTTGTAGCATATGTTCTGCATGCTACATAAGGTTCTAGAGGAGATACCGGGGCTGGATGACCCTTGGTCCTCACCTTCTGGGAATTTGGATTTTGCAGTAGTTCTTGGGGCCCTTGTTACATGTTTTCCATCTCTCAGTCATTTGCACCGGCTTGAGGTTCTTGCCATGTCCACTCACCACCTTCCTATCATTTACCTAAGTTTCTCTCTAAATGAACTTACTTTCTTTCACTGAAGTGAATTTATTTTAGTTGACGTTTTTATTGTAATTGAATAGTTTAAATGGACAACCAGTATCCCTTGGCATAACTAGAAAGTTTTATACATTGGTAAAATAAAACCGTGTTAAGGGTCTACTACATGCTTCCCCCTCAAGACCCTGAGTCTGGGTCCTGTTCTGTCTTTGTTAAAAGGGAGGCTAGGAGCTGCTAGGGGTTAACCGTGTAGTGGCCCGTCTCCCAGACTTTCTCCTTGACGTCAGCAGGGCGAGGGGGGGGATCGTTTTGTAAGAAATGAGCTTCTCACAGTGGGATTCCCTGGTACCTGCTGCTGTGTCCCTTTGCCTCTTAAATTCTCCTCCTGGGCTGATCCCCGCGTCTGTCAGACACGGATCTCAGTGAGCCCTAAATCGCTGGCCTTCCGTTTGCACCTCGCTTTACAGTTTACAAATCAGTTTCACGTAAGCATCCCATTCAGTCCCCAGACAGCCTGGCGAGGGGGCTGCTCCAGAGACTTTCCTTCCCTTAAGTAATTTGTCTGCGGTCACTCCGCCACTCCGAGGTGGATCGGGGACCAGGCTGGGTTTCAGGTTTCACGTACAGATGGTCCCTGACTTACCGTCATGCGACTGAAGATTTTGTTTTGCCTTTATGATCCTATGAAAGCAATAAACATTCCTCAGTAGACATCGCACTTGGAATGTTGCGTGATGGTCTTTTCCCAGGCGAGCCATATGCAGTGCGGTCGTCTTTCACGATGCCGGGCAACACGCCGATTTTGGCCAACAGGTGGCCACCGGGTGGCCACCGTAAGTATACTTACACTGTAAGTGTTCTGAGCACGTCTAAGGTAGGCCAGGCTAGGCCACGATGCTCAGTAGGTGAGGTGTATTAAATGCATTTTTCATGCACAACAGTTTCAGTGTACGTGGGTTTTTCCAGAGGTAACCCATCGTAAGCTAAGAAGCTTCCACACAGTGCTTTTTCTACTCTAAAATAGATCATTTAGACTTGAACCCAATACAGTGGAACTTCCATGTGAAGATGCTTTTAGGGTTACCTCTGTATCTCCCCCCGCCTGCCCTCTGCTTGCCTCGGGAATGCAGTTCTTTTATGAAGTCTCTGCCCCATCGCTGAGTACCATGTGCAGGTAAACAGATTATTATTTCATTTTTCAGTGTACCGCCCTGATAGGGATATTTACTCAATACCTTGAGAATAAATAGGTATTAATTTCAGCCAACCAACCACTTTCCTTTGGGTGCTTGTTCAGGAGTTTCTATTAGCAGTTTGCATCTTTAAAAGAAATGAGTCAGAATGATACCATTTTTAATAGCTTTGTTAATTTTCTGTTCATAAAAGTAGTCAATACGCATTGTAAAAGTTCAGCTATCTTCCAGCTATTTATTAATATCTCATGTGTTCTGTTCTGATTGAAAAAGCAACCTATTCTCGTCCTAGAGGAAAGGAACTCTGAAGAGTACAACATGAAAGACAATGGTAAAACTCAGGTTCATGCCTGTTTCAGGACACTCTTTTTAAGTCTTTTTTCTGTACGTGCTCATGTCTGGAATGATGGTAGTGTTATGAGTAACAACCACCTTTATTGTGGACTAACGGCAAGTCACGCGTCATTTTACTCCTCTCAGTAACCCTGGGAAATAGGCCTTAGCTAGACGGCCAAGGGAAAAAGCAAGGTTAGGTCGATGTAGTCACTTCGCCATAGTTCCATAGCCAGTACGCACGGGCTGGGGCTTGTCCCTTCTTCCCACTCGGGCTCTGCCCCCGAGTGTTGGGCCCCGCCCCCCCGACTCGGGTGCTGACCCCTGCTCGAGGTCCTGTGCCCTTCTCTCCCTCTCCCAGCGCAGTGCCATGCCTGAAAGGCTCTGGGACTGAATGGTCCCAGAAGGGAAGAAAAGATGACAACGGTCCGTTTGCTTCTTTCTTTTTCTTTTCTTTTTCAGGTTACAGTTTTTCTTGCCTTAGAAATTGGTGGATAGTGAAAATATTGAATCATTACGTTGTCCTTCTGAGTTATGTGTTATAGTGCCCATACATGCATTGGGCACTATAAATATGCATTGGGCCCCTTTAGCTACTGTAGGCGAGAAACAGGGGAAGTGAGTATTATTTGATGGGAACTGATAGCCACGCTATAATATCTTTTCCTGAGTCTCTAAATCTTGCCTTCAGATGCAGGTGAGGTAGCTGGTCCCCCGCTGAGCAGGCCAAGCCCAGCACAGGGTACCCTAGGTCTGCATCGAGAATGCATATCCTCATGAAGATGTCATATTGGATTTCTAAACGGAATTTTCCTCCACTTCCTCTTAAAAACAAACAAACAAACAAACAAACACACAAACACACAAACACACACACAAACAAAGGCAACCGTGGCCAAACGCTCCCTCTGCATTTTTTGCAAATCCAAATATTATCAGGAGCCCTGAGGAGGGACCTCGGCCCCTGCGCTGATATCCGAAATCTGAACTTCACAGCGCTTATGAAAAGGAAACAGTTTAGCTCCATTTATAATAATATATTGGTCTGCAGAGGAAGTGCGGCGGGCTGGGCCCTGCTGTCTCAGGTCGGTGCACGGAGGGGGTGGGGGGGTGTCTGACGGGGAGCGCGTCGGGTGCCTGCAATAAATCCAACGCCCGCGCGCGCGTGAGTGAAGGCCCTGCCGGCGGTGCCCGAGGACACGCTTAACTGGAGTTGTCACGGCCTCGCTTTGAAATTGGCATCTTTACCCTGATCTCAGAGTGAGACATGACCAGATTTGCACACAGATTTACAATTTTCACTAATTTCCCAACCTGGACTTCAAAACACACTTAGAGGGGGAAAAAAAATTAGATTCTGGTCTTTTTCAGAGTAGGATGATTTACTTGGCCGCAGATGTTTTCCATAGACTGAACGTGACCTGGGACGTGGGGACTTAGAAGTGGCTTGGGGACAAACTGTAGGTTTGTGTTTTGTGGAACAGATGATGCAGTTCGAGGGACACCGACCCCATTATGTTTACTAACCAGGAGCCTGGGGTGGAGGTGGGGCGTGTCAGGACAAAGGTGGGTGCTAGGTGAAGAATTGGGGCGAACCTCCTTCTCCCCCCCTTAATTTATTGTCATTACTTTTTACACGTCACTCCTCACAGGTCCGGTCTCTCTCGTCTCTCCTTGTGTTTCCTTATATCCAACTGAATCCCATTGTCAAATGTCTGTTACTGTAACGATCAGCTACTTCAAAGCTTCAGCTGCCCAGTAAAAATCCACTGCAAAAAAAAAAAAAAAAAAAGAAGAACGGGGGGGAACAGTATCAGTTGAAAATTCATAGTCTTTCTTTTTTTGGTTTTGCGTTCCCTCACCAACAGTTTGGGGGAAGAGATCGAAAGAGCCGTGAGGTTTTCTGTCAGGTGACCGGGTTCAGACTCGCCGAACCCCGTCTGTGGGGTAGGCGCCGTTAGCCCCTCTTGGAGTTCCCACCCCCCTGCCCCCCAAACCAGTGCTGATGATCCTCGCTCCCAGGTTACTGTGAAGCCAAGTAAAATGCACGGGATGGTGCTCTGCACGCTACGGTGCTCTGCACGCTACGATTTGAATGTGGGGCCTTGGGAAGGCTGGGGCCTGGGCTGTGTGTGGTTCTCAGAGAACCAGAAAGGCAGGTGGGTGGCCCAAAGGGGGCCGAATGTTCTTCCCACCTTTCTCCCCACCCTGAGTTTTGCCAGCTTTGTGCCTCACTTTTTCGCGTGCACATTTTCCTGGCACCCCAAGGAGCCCCAGGAAGGCAAAATCTTACCAGTGGACGCTGGCAGGAGAGAAGCCCACATCTGGCCACTGTGGCGTTGGAGCTCTGTGGGGACC